CTACACAAAACCATTTTATTAACTATTGTCCACTTCTTGTTCTTATTGGGTTCTGTGTTCTAAGCTGGCAATCTGGTCCTTAGAAGGTTTAAGAAAACCTTTTAAGGGCTTCAAAACTTTTTTTTTTTTTTTAAAGAGAGTCAACTCTGTCCTTCATTAGCACCCTTTTCCCATGGGTTTCCAAAGCTGGTCCTGACCCTTTGAATAGCAGGGAGCAGAGGAAGGGACCAGCGTTGAGAAGTGCGCATCCCAGGAATGGAGTACGTGTCTGGCGGGGTTTCAGTAGGAGGCAGTCCCTAATCTCCACATTTATAAAAGTCTGCTCATAGCAGCTTTCACGCGACAGTTGAAAAGATTAAATAAGTATGTCTGTGAAGAACATTTCGCATTCTTTCTGTTATTCATTCAACAAATATTTCTCAAAGGTCTCCTGGGGGCCAGAAACCATTCTAGGCACTGGGAACAAATCAGCGCACCATCTCTTATGGTTCCCTAACTCAAGTTTTAGTTAGGCAATGCCATGGAGCTCCCCAAATATTGTCTTTTTGAATTCTGTTTGTTGTTTAATATTTAAGATAAAAGAACACTTGCTAATTCTAGGTACTGCTTCAGCACTTTGCACATGTAATCTTATAATACATTTGCAGAACTTGCAAGGGGTCACCAAAAAGCAAACATTCACAATGAGTCCCACTACTTCTTCACACTCATTCTTTATTTTTTCTTTATTTTTTTTATAACAATATTTTTTTTATTAAATTATTATCTGTGTACATATACTATTGCTCCCCCCTCCCAGAGATGCCCTCCCTCCCCAGAGTTTTGTGTCCATTGGTTGTACTTATATGCATGAATACAAGTCCTTAGGTTGATCTCTTATCTTCCCCAGATCTCCCTCCCCTCCCCGCTGTACACACTCATTCTTTAGGGCCAGTTCCTCCCCTGCTCTGTGATGGATATCTTAAGGCAGATCCCATGACTCTTCTTCTCACTCTTAGGAGATAAAAATCCCCTGTAGTATCCCCAAACAGCCCCAGTTCAGCAATTAAAGTGTCCATTCCAATGTGATAGTCAAAGCTGCTCAAGTTCATTTAGAGTTGAAGCTGTTTCTGCCAACCTTCCTTCCTCCTTCGTTTGCCCCCACCTCCTTTAGACATTGGGTAGACTGGAAGACTGGTGGGCAGGGCAATGATTTCCTTTGGATGTGGGAAAAGCATTCCTCCCTCAGCCCTAGATGCCATCCTGGGAGAGAACTAGCCTGTGTCCCGGGGCTGTGTGCCCCACCCCTCCTGTGTGGCCTACTTCTGGCCTATTGGAAACAAACACTTCAATGTCAAGAGTAGGGTAATAGCTACTAAACTTGCTTCTGACAAACTCTGGGAGCATGGGTTTCCCAAACTCTCGAGAGCAGGGTCTGGACCCAGTCCTTCAGCCTTCAGATTTTTCCAGGTGTGGGTATGACCTCAGTCCTCTGTGTCCAGCTAAGTCTTAGTCTCCAGAAGCATTCCATACTTAGAAGAGACCACAAGGTGTAGCACTCAGATACAAACACGCTGGGATTAAAATCCCAGATAATGCCAGCTCAGCCATGACCTAGCTGTGTGATCTAGGGCAGGGTACTCCAAGCATTCTTTACCTTGGTTTCCTTATTTGTATAATAGGGATGATAATAGAGGCTGCCTCATAGGATTTTTAGACACATTAAATAAGATAAAATGTATAAAGTGCTTGGAACAGTTCCCAAGACACTTTAGGCATCATGGAAGTATTTGTTAAAAAAAAAAAAATGTTTGAATAGTAAATAACAAAGATCAATTCACGGCAACTTTACCAGGCACTTTAAATTTCAGGAGTTCTGGGTCTTTCCAGTCCAGTCAATTTTGGATGATGTCCAGGCAGAACCTGCCTAGAGCCACATGGCCGGTGTCATAGGAGGCTCTTCGGGTCTTGCTACCCAGTATAAAACACCTAGTCCGGTTTTATTCCATGCGCTAGGAATGTAGCAAGCATGAGTTGAGGAAGGGTGACAAGGTTTTAGAAGGAATGAGCACAGAAAGAATTCCCAGACACGACTTTTCAGAAAGGGTATTTGGGAAAAACAAAGCCAAGGGTGGGCATTGAGGGCACATTTCACACCCTCTGCCAGCCCTGCAGCCTGGCTCTCCCACGTCTTGTTTTGCTCTGTTCCTTGCTATCTCTGCAGGGAAGGCATAACCTCGTGGATTATGGGACTTTCTGAGTATCTTGAGACAATTAATTATCCTACTCTTGACATGCCTGAAACATAGAGAGATTATGCAACTCAGCCAGTCACGTAGCACGGGTGAGGCCGAGCTGGGTCAGGTCTGCGGACTCCAGATTTATGTTTAATCTGATGAGATTTGCCAGTGTGCTGTTATCCCAGCATGGACTTTGTTTAGTCACAGAAGCTGCTAACATAATTTCAGAAATGTGTGGCCAGGGAATCCAGGTCATCTGGTGAAAATGACATTACCAGGAAACTAAAACACTCAAAGTTTGGAGAAAATTGTGCGTCAGGATTAAGTAGGGGGGGAAAAATAAAATCAAAACAGGACCAGAAATCAGCAGTGTATGTAAACAAAAGGGAATTGATTTACTATGAAAAATATGAATATAGGACAAAAGCATTACCACTTCACTGATACCTTCGAGGACATACTAAGCTTGGTGCAGCCTCCAATATTTAGGATAGCATGAATTCAGAAGAAACAATTTGTAATTGCATGTTTGCATTTATGTTTGAGTAACTGGCTATTCATGAATGTACTTAAAAAATAGTTTTGTGAAGACTCAAAGGAAGTTGGAAAAATGCTCGTCTTTTATTTCCTATTCCTTCCCAGTTCGCTGGTTCCTACTGAGTGGGACACACGGTGGTGGAATGAGAATGAGGCCTGGATTTGTACAGACCTGAGGTCAAATTCTTACTCTACTAAAATGGCATGGCTTCGAGCCATTTGCTTAGCCTCTTTGGCCTTCAGTTTCTTTATCTATAGAATGATTATAATACTGACCTCGCAATACTGAACTAAGCAAAGTCTCTTGTTACAAAATAGACACCCAGTTAGATCTGGACTGCAGCATACCTTAGACTTCCTTAAAATGCCAGTTCAAAATGGATTTTTCAAAAGCCTGACCCTGATGCAAAGATAGACAGATATGTCCACAGAACAGAATAAAAATCTCACAAATACAACTGCACATGTGGTTAATTGATTTTGTAAATATTTCAAGATTATTCAATGGGACAAGGACAGTCTTTTCAACAAAAGGTGCTGGAACAATCGGGTGTCCTTATGCAACAAATAAATGAACCTTGACCCCATGCCTTGTGTCAATATACAAAAATAACTTGAGACAAATTAAAAACCTAATTGTATGAGCTGAAGCTATAACATTTTTAAGAGAGTAATAGGACAAAATCTTTGTGACCGTGGGTTAGACAAAAATTTCTTAGGATACCAAAAGCACAAACCATAACAATATTTGATAAATTGGACTTCAACAGCATAAAGAAACATTTGCTCTCCAAAGAAAATGAAAATGCAAGCCACAGACTAGGAGGAACTATTTGTAAAATGCATCTATTTCTTTAACATTGCTGTGTCCTGAAACTGTGGCACAGAGATGTAATTAATAATTATTGTGTGCACTCATCCTCCTCCCTCACTATTTAGGCCACTGTTCCCTACCATTCTTCTCATAATACTGTTATGATTGAGGCCTGGAGGGAAGATTGGGGTGTACATTATGACATTTTAAGCCTCACATCTTCAATTCCATTCTTGGCAAAAGAAAAAAGAACAACAATGAAAAATCTGGAGACAGGCACATATCCAACAGGAAGCAACTTGAAGTCCTTGGTAGCAATAGGACACTCTCAACAGTGACAACAAGAAGCACAGATGGCCGAAACCGGTTTGGCTCAGTGGATAGAGCATCGGTCTGCGGATTGAAGGGTCCCACGTTTGATTCCAGTCTAGGGCATGTATCTTGGGGGTACATGCACAATAGGGGATGTGTAAGAGGCAGCTGGTCGATGTTTCTCTCTCATCGATGTTTCTAGCTCTCTATCCCTCTCCCTTCCTCTCTGTAAAAAATCAATAATATATATATATATTTTTAAAAAAGAAGCACAGATGAACATACACATACTGCAAGATATGGCCCTCAGTGCTGTGCTTGCATCATTGCATTTAACTGTTGGTGAGTCAGCACAGAGTCCGGGAGGAAGCAGGGTCACCATCCAGGCGGCCAGCAGAGCTTCTTTTGGGCCGTTCCTTCCCTGATACCTGCAATGGATTTTGTTCTTCCCATGTCTCTGAAGTGCTTTGTCCTTTGGAATTCACTCTGGATTCATCCATGTCTTGTCTTGGTTTTACTGTCTTGGGACTGTTGGCTCAATTTAGGAGATTTATCTTTGAAAATTCAGCCTCTGTTTGGCTTCCTGGCATCAAGCTTTGTACTTCCTTGCTCCTTAATTCTGGTAAACCCTTCCCCCACCTCCTCCCTCTGCTTCCCTTGGCCTTCCATTTGCAGTGCTTGATATCCCTGGGTCATTATGAATCTCATATGTCCCCCAGGTACACAATCGACAATATTGGCATCAACGGGCATCCTGCTCACAGGTCTCTCTTTTCTGCTGTCCTTCACAAACCACTGTATGCATAGCTGAAGCTGGAGGTCCTCAGACACGTAAGATGAATACAGATTGGAAAGGTCATACCTACCTTTGTCAGGGTAGCTGTGATGTTTTAAAAATATTAATATAACTGCGAGGATGTCTTTATTGGTGAGCAACGTTGCAGGGTGTGGATGGTCTCAGTGTTGGGTTGTCAGCTGATACCTCAGAGTCAGCTGGGGCTTTGAGGGTGAGCACAGCCCGAACCATAGGTGAGTGGATCAGCATGTGCTCATCATCCCGCTTTCTGCACAGGTGCTGACCCAGGTGGGTCCAGATAGCAGCACTGGAAGTCCCAGGGCTGCATGTGTTCCAGCTGGGGCAGAGGGATGCCGCCAGGCTTCCACTCCGTTTCATGTAACAGCAGCCGAACCACGAGAGATGCTTTTTCTAGAACTGATTCCCCAAGACCGTCTGACTGACTGCAGTTTATGGGCCACAGGCAGCTGGGGCAGAGCCATCCTCCCAGTTTACTTCCACTTGCATGAGAGGCGCTCAGAATAAACATCCCGGGAAGCGGATGGACTGACATCAAAGTCTTCAATTCCTTTTCCAATTTTGATCTCAGCAGTCCTTCCCACACAGGTCTACGTAGGTTTTCAAAGCACGAACTGTGCTCAGTTCCTCCCCAGAAGGATGCTCGCTCCTCCTGTGACCTGTGTGGATGGTCTCAGTGTGAGGCAGCCAAGAGCAGCTGTGCCCGCAGAGCTGGAGTGAATCCTACCACAGTCTCTTCACAGTAACCCGCTTGCACTTCACGCAGACTACTGAAAAGAATCTCATCATATATATAAATTTATAAATAAATAAAAAAAATAGGTTCACGAGCTTGCTGCAGAAGATAGGGAGATGCTCTCTGTGTTTTTAAAGGGCCAGCTTGCAAGGGCCAGCCTTAAACCTCAGCACAGGAAAGCTGACGGGTCACATCATTCTAGGTGCTGAAGCCCCCCAGGTCCAACCATTGCACACACCAGGAATGGGAGGCGTGGGAAGGTTCAGTGAAGATTTAAAAAATTTGCATAGTTACTGGAAGAACAGAGACTTAAGCCCTAGTTTCCTGACAGGAAATCCTGCACTTGCTTCCAACTGCCTTTTATCCAGATGATGGTCTTTGTGTCTGAAAAAGCCTGCAGATGGCAACGGGGCTCTTCCCCAAGAGGGAGACGAGACTCGAGGTAATTGTCGGTAAGAGTGGACTTTGGGGGACACTCCTTTCTCCTCTTCGGATTCCTTTTCGTGGCCACCTGAGCACGCCGGCTCCGGGGCTGGGAGCAAGGAGCCATCCGCCGGCTCCAGGCTCTCCTCACACACAGCTGCTCAAACAGTGAGCTGAGCTGCAGGGCTTGGAGTTCACTGTTCTCCCTGCCAGACCGACCTCTGTTGTAAATTTCCCTCCCGGAACACGTGACGATGCATTTCTTGACTATATATCCCCAGGGCAGCCGCGGAGCCGAGCTGTCAGAGGCTCAGCCCGCCGCGAGGAGGACGCTCTTGGACTTGGCCACTTAGCAAACTCAGGGCTTGGGACGAATTTGCCAGCGTTTGGTAAGTCAGCGATGCCACGGGGCTTCAGACACCTTTTGAAGGGCCATTTCTACCAGCTAGCAGGCGAAGTTTTCCTTGCCTTTTGTTTTTGTTTTGTTCCCAAGGAAACTTTGTTTTGAATTAAAAAAAAAAAATAGTTTTAAGCAGGAGAAGCAAAATGTAAACGTTCTCTTTCCTGCTCAGTTAAAAAAAAAAAGACGTTCTCAGTAGTTACAATGTCAGTTATGTTGTCTGTGCTTCCTTGTCTTACACTGATCTCCCCCCCTCCCCCTTCTTGAGTTTTTAAAATGGTCAAAGTGATGCTTTTTAGAGTGACGCTCTCTCTACAAATTACAAATATGATGGACACGTAGAGACGAAGTCATGGAAGTCCTTCTTACGCACCTCCCTGCCTTCTCCCCGAGGCACTCCAGCCTCTGCAGCCGCTTCCTTTCCTCTGCGCCTTCATGCATGTAGAAGCTGTTTCGCTATTGCAATCCCACACACCTCTGCTGCCCTCCTCTCTGCCCCGTGGGCCGTGGGAGAGTGCTAACCTGCAGCTTTCTCCCCAGACCCTGGCCCAGCGAGCAGCGCTTCCATGCTGAGGATGGAGCCCCTGAACAGCACGCACCCCAGCACCGCGCTCCCCGGCACCCCCCTCGAGTCCCACGACACCAGCGGAAGGGACAGCGGCAAGGGGAACGAATACGTCTACATCCTCGTGGTCATGTCCTTCTACGGCATTTTCTTGATCGGGATCATGCTGGGCTACATGAAATCCAAGCGGCGGGAGAAGAAGGCCAGCCTGCTGCTGCTGTACAAGGACGAGGAGCGGCTGTGGGGCGAGGCCATGAAGCCCCTGCCCATGATGGCGGGGCTGCGGTCGGTGCAGGTGCCCGCTGTGATGCTGAACATGCTGCAGGAGAGCGTGGCGCCCGCGCTGTCCTGCACGCTCTGCTCCATGGAGGGGGACAGCGTGAGCTCCGAGTCCTCCTCGCCCGACGTGCACCTCACCATCCAGGAGGAGGGGGCCGACGACGAGCTGGGGGAGGAGAACTCGGAGACGCCCCTGAACGAAAGCAGCGAGGGCTCCTCGGAGAACATCCACCAGAATTCCTAGCACTCCCAGGGCCTCCGGAGGTGGCCCCGTCAGCAGAGAGGAAGGGCGCTTTTCACGTCTGGTTTCACTTTTGCAGTGAGGCTGCCTCTTTGAAGAGACCCCTCGGCAGGCCCCTGCGTGGGGATGGTGGGGGCACAGGAGTCCGTGCCGTGCCTGTGGTGCGAACCGCCACAGCCAAAGCCCTGAAGACGTGCCGGGGGCACATTTACTTGGGGCCTGGGGCTGGGGTGCCGGGTCAGAATCTGGCAGGTCCAGGTGCTTGCTCAGTGTTTTCTCACTGGATGCCCTGGCTAACTCCGGCAGCTTCTGCCCACTCCCAGGGACATGCTGGGACACTACTTTTGATTGATTGATTTGCCTAGAGCTTTGTCGTTCTCCATCTGATTGGCTGTAAGTACCTCTGTGGTGTGCCTGTGGCATTCATTCACCAGTGACAGTGCTTCTGGCCTCTTGGGTTGGGAGGGTGACGTTGAAAGGAGGACTTTCCATGGGAGAAAGCTGGAGATCTGAACTCGGCCCGTTTGCATATAATAAGGGTAACAGAGGGCAACCTTTAAAAGTGTTAACATTGGCTAGGATTATAAGGCTTGACCCTTTCTGTAACCCACAACCTTGAACTCTGACCTGGGACCATCCCACTGGCATGAAGTTTTTTTTGGTTGGAAGAGCTCTCCAGAATCTAACCTGCACTCCTAATGGCCATGCAGGGGACTCCTCCTGATCTTCCCAGAAAGGGTACTGATGGGGTTGAATGAAGCCAACCCTTAGCTCTACTGCTGCTCAACTCTCAGCCTGATTTTCTGAGCTGGGAGAGGACATATGGCGGGCCGCCTTTTGTCACGTAGCCGAGACTGAGAAGGGCATACTCAGGCAGAAGTCACACAAAGCTGGGGTCCACGTTCTGTCCCTTGACCCCCGAGCCCTGACACTGGTTTGCTGTGTGGTCCCGGGCATGTCATCAAGAGGCTTACCGCCTGCCTGAGACTCCTGACGGTCTGCGTCCCCAGGGGGCTGGGAGGATGTCTTTAGATTTTAAGCCTCTGTGATAAATCCTGCATGGCCTGGTGTGAGGAAGCTTGGACCAGATATTTCCCCCTTGGCCAGTTAGTCTGCAAAAGGATTTGCTTATTTAAAGGAGCAGTTGGAGACTAGGAAGGCAGGGCACTGGGAAATTCAGGGAGAATCACCCCCTCATCCAGGCTGTCGTTTTTTCCCAGCAGTGAACCAAAATGCGGATGCCACATTTTACGCGGTCTGCAAAGTTCTCTCTGGGTGCTGGAATGTTAACCCTCCAGCGGAGGGAACGAGAGACCCAAAAGGAAACACTCAGGAATGCTTGCCGACATCTCCGGGTATTCCTGTGGTCGGAATTCCTTTGCAGCAGACCCTATGGGCCCTTGAATATGAGAACCAAGAGAAATACACCAAAAGTCAAATTTAATTATAGTAAAAACAAAATTTTTTTTTTTAAATTAAAAGAAATATTCTCCCTGGGTTGGAGACAGCAATAACTACTGTTCCCATGGAAGGGTTAACAGTGGAGGAGCTGGTTTACCAGCTCGCCTTAACACAGTGCTAGAGGAAATTTATGTTTGGGGGGGGGGGGGAGGGAAGGGGCCTCTGTTCACTTTAAAATCCAGAATGTGGATTTACTCCAAAGGGGGCTGTTTAAGGTGAAAGAAGCCAAGTTCAGTTGGCCCCTTGCCTGGAATCACTTGAATTCTGAAACTTTACTGCGACGGACATGTGCGTGGTCACATTTTCCATTGCTTCATCCTGAAGTTCGGTGCACATCTAGCTGCGCCTATTAAAATAGTGATGTATATACTTCCTTCTTATTCTATTAAGTTGTATAAAATGGTCTTCTGTATTTAACAGTTTGTCATTTTCACTATATTTTTTAATTTAAATAAACAAACACATTTCCCTGAGGAACTTCTGAGTTCTTTCTTTGATTCTGCAACATAATTCCTAGTTTCTAAGACATCCCAGGCACATTCTCCCAGCTGTCTCCGGATCCGGGTCATTTTCCAAGTTAGACTCCCATGAAGACATATTTTATTTCTGTCTGAATCACGGGCTGAACAAGGGCTAGGCGTTTCCATCTTGTGACATGCTTTGCAATGAATGAAAAACAAGTTGCAAATAGTTTTGCATCAATTTCTCTTTAAATTTGATGGTCATGGGGGCCTTTGAACTTGAACATGCAACTGCTACAAAGATGTTGCTCCAAATTTGTTCGCAAGAACACGTTTGCTTTGGTTGTTGGCTCGGCAGATATTATCCACGTAGGACCGCAGCAGCAATGTCTGATGGGCAGGAAGTTCCTCTATGTTCAGCCACATACACTTAGGAAAATACTGGAGCACAAAATCTCTGGTATTTAGATGGCACCTCCTTTTATTCCCAGTCACCTCTGCACGAAGACTGATGTTCGAAGCTCTTCCCACCTGGTCCGGCTGTAGCTCAGGCCCTCAGATTTTATTACTTTATTTACACAGCCAGAGGTGCTAAAGAAAAATGACCCAAGCCAGGGACCCATTTTTGAATCAAGCAGAGGATACAGAACATCCTTACTTTTATGTTTCTCTGTGTCCCGTGAGTTTGGCTTTTCTGTTTCAAGTAAATGTTTTCATTAGGCGCACAAATAAGTGTCTCCCTAAAGGATTTATTGGGTGAAGGTTACAGGGCAGCCCGGGATCCTTCCCAAAACACTTCAACGATCTCCATCCATCAGTTGGTACTTTGACAATGTAAGATGAGAAGATCAATTTAAAAGACAAGAAAGCCCTTCTGTTTATCCCAGCTTAATGCCATTCTTGGTAAGGAAATAGTTAAGGAAAGCATTATTACCACAGGCAGAAGAAGAGGGAATTCTAAACTCTAATTGTCCTAAAAATATGCAGAGTACACTATGTCGTTTTAATGGCATATTTGTTTTCTTTAAACACACACACACACACACACAGACACACAACTTCTAAGCAGAACCTAAAGCCCAAGGGGTTTAATCTGTGCGGATTTACTCATGCATGTGAAAAAACAGAAAAGAGAATTTGGCTCCATGTACCTAGGATATTAGAAACATATTTTAAAGCACTTAAATGTTAGGCATGAGGTAAATGAATCATCCATGCTGTTCCAATTACACCTTTGTACGTCAAAGTCAGACAAGGATGCTGTAGAGAAAACTTTCAGGGACAGAATCTGGGATCAAAATTACCGGGAAAGGCTGAAGTTGGGCCAAGGAATGAGTGCTCTTGGCTCATGGCTCTGGTTGGAGAGTAGATCCTGTGGTACATTTGAGAGCTGCAATTGGAGGGTTTTGCGGTCAGGCATGTACTTCCAGGGCTCAGCTGAAGAAGGGTCATTTATCTTCCTATAAAACGCTGCTCTGATCCTAGAGACGTTGTGGAACAGACAGAACATTGAGCTTGCGATGCAACTGATACTCCAGGTTTAGACCGAGCAAAATGTGCTCAACTGCCTTAGCCCAAATCTGGGTGCCCTGCTGGAGAAAATCACATGGAATATCATGGGTCAAGGTCAAGGGTGGCCAATAGGGCTGGAGGGAGACATATCAGCCGACTGACCGGGAGAGTGGGTCAGCAAGCACTGGACCTGGGGAAGGGTGTAAAGGGGGTTTAGGGGAGGCCCAGCCTGCTCTTCTAGCTTTCTCGGCTAACCCTGCTGTTGTGATGCTCTGTGGCTCACAATTAGAGGACATGCTGGGCTTCCTCTCCTGGGACCTGTCAATTTGAAGAACGGTGAAACACTGAGAGATATTGAGCTCTGCTTGAACCTAAAAGAAAAGCAGCTTCATGTTTCTACTTTGTAAAACGTGTCCTGGCACCTGTATGCAAATAAAGCCACTGAAACCTCTTTTTCTGTGAACAGTTTCCTCAGGAAACTGATGTTTAGGGAAAGCGCACGATTTTCCAAAGGAGAAGGGTCATAAGAGAGAGAAACCACTGTTTACTTCTGCTTTTCCCTGTTTCTGAAGTGTTTCCTTCCACACAGGAAGGAACAGTTTGGGATGTGAGCTGTTACCATGGAGATAACCAGCCAAGGTCACTTGTTTGAAGGAGCCCAGGGCCTCACAGCATTGGATTAGAGACTTGATGAAGTTGGTATTTGTTTCTTGACTCAGGCAAAGAGCTTTGAGCCCACGGCCACCTCCACCCACGACATAGAGGAGTACCAGGGAGTACCCTGCTCTCCTTTTATCCTGGACAACCCCTTCTTTCTTCTCCTAGTACCTTCCTGGCCCATGCAATTCAGGGCTAAGCTTTGGTTCTCTCTGCTCTAGGGATTTATTTTCTTGTCTTTCATTTGTTGCTAAGAAACACTATAAAAGGCCTTAGCTGATTTGGCTTAGTGGATAGGTAAGCCTGTGGACTGAAGTGGATAGGTAAGCCTGGACTGGCCCCAGGTTCAATTCCTGGTCAAGGGCATGTATCTGGGTTGCAGGTCCATGGCCATGGCCAGGCACATGCAGGAGGCAACCAATGGATGTGTCTCTCTCACACTGATGTTTCTCTCTTTGTCTTTATCCCTCCAGTCCACTCTCTCTAAAAATCAGTGGAAAAATATCACTGGGTAAGGATTAACAACAAGAAGAAACACTGTAAAAGAATTCTTCACATCAGCAACTATACTATTTCCTGTCATGAATGATTTTTCCACCCCGGTTCAAAGATGATGCATCGCATGTTCTCTCTTGTCTTAGTTCTGGCTGTTATAGCAAAGTACTGTATACTGCGTGGCTTATAAACATAAATTTATTTCTCACAGTTCTAGAAGCTGTAAGTCCAAAGTCAGGGTTCCTGCATGGCTGGGTTCTGGTGAGGACCCACTTCCAGTTTGTAGACATCTGTCTTCTCATTGTATTCTTACCTGGCAAAAAGAGAGCAAACTAGCTCTGTGGTTTCTTTTTACAAGGGCACTAATCCTACTCATGAGGGCTTCACCTTCATGACCTAATTACCTTCCAAAGGTCTATCTTCTAATACCACCACATGGGGAATTAAATTTCAATATATGAATTTTGAGGGACATAAATATCAGCCCATAACACCTCTTTCCCCAATGTCCCTTGCTTGTTTCCCCTCTCACTTCCTTCTCTTATGCAAAAGGAACAAAAATAACAATGACCACAATGCAAAATACTTATTAGGCACTTATGACATGCTAAGCACATGCTACATGCAAGCTTTACAACCCCATGCTTTTTAATATATGTAGATTCCAGAGAGGAGGTGAGAGGGAGAGAGAGATAGGAACATCAATGATGAGACAGAATCATTAATCAGCTGCCTCTTGCACGTCCCACATTGGGGATCAAGCCAGCAACCTGGGCATATGCCCTGACCAAGAATTAAACCTTGTGACCTCCTGATTCATGGGTCGATGCTCAGTCCTGAACCATGCCAGCCACACACAACTTCATGCTTTGATTTTCTACCTTCTTCTAGGTACTTATAGGTGCTGGGAAAAAGATAACCCCTGCCCAAAAAGATAACCCTTGCCCTAGTTTTCATATAGATAAATTCCAATAAAAATAACTTTATATCTGGTTAATTTATAACATTAGAGAAGGATTTCTATGTGCAGGGTCCTCTGGCTCTAAAAGAACTTAAGAATACATGGTTTTTGAACAGTTGAGGACCCCAAGAAGTGGTTAGTTGAATGAAATGTATAGTTTATCTAATGTTTGCTTTACTCTGTGATAGGCCCTTTCCCTTTGATTATCTTATTTATTCTCCCAAAGAAACTCTAATACCGTAAATGTAGGGTATGAAAGTTGAGGCTCAAAGAGAAGGTTGTCATGAAAAGAATGATGAGGATTTCAATGCAGCTCTTCTGATATGAGATCTTTATATTAGGATCTCTTTATATCTTGAAGAAGTAAGAGAGCCAAAGCCATGGAATCTAGACCTATTCCAGACATTCGGCAGCTCTCTGACATTGCATATGTTGCTCAATTTTTCTGGGCATGTTTTCTCACCGATAAAATGGAGTTATGAAGAACTTTTCTATTGACCTCAAAACAGTCAGAACTGTTTATGAAGCAGCTGGGAGAAAAAAGTGTCATTGAAAGGCAGCTGTGTGTAGACATTTCTTATATTTACCGTTCTCCAGTATTTCTCTCCTTTTGATACCATGGATATTTCCACTGCTCAACCCCTTCTCCTGTCTGTTCTTCCATACCACCAGTGGTCAGGCAGGGATAGGACTCACTGTGGTTGTGAACTGAGTAGAAGTGATGTATGTAAATGTAGGCTGAATCAGTGAAAAGCCTGTGTATGATTCCCTCTCTAGTTACCCTCTTTATCTGCAGCTGGCTTTGCATAAAGCAATAATAATCTAAGTTATGGCAAATATTGAGAAGTTGGGATTTTTGCTCCTGTAGTATAACTCAACCATTGGATTTATACAGAGTATGGCCACATTAGAGAGACATGGAATGTTGGAAGGTGCCCACCAGATCATTAACCCAACCCCTCTCTTTAATGATGTGGAAATTAAGGTTCAGAGTAGCTAAGTGACTTGTTCAAAGTCAATGTGGGAGATGGGGTTGCAACTCGGGTCTCCAGGCATCTCGTTCAAGGTCTCCAAGAGCACATGGCTATGGAGGGCTCTGCCAAAGCTTAATGAAAACAAACTTCCCAGAGTGTCTTCTCCCTTGAGTGTCTCACCTTGGGCTTCCCTGAGCAGCATTAGATCACTGGTGTTATCTCTATTTATGGCTCCATGAACCCTGCTTGGAAGTGGCTTCTTTTTTTTCCTGGTCAAACCCTGGCACTTACTGCTCTTCGTGGGGTGTTGGATCCAAGTGGGCAGAAGTAAACACATTCCCCCAAAGCAGTGCCATGTGACATCACTGGAAACTTGAATAAAAGGGAAGAAGCTATAAATAGGAGGAGGAAAT